ATGAGGTGGCTAGATGGAGTCACTGAAGCAGTTGGTGTGAGCTTAAGTGGACTCCGGTGGATGGTGGAAGACAGGAAGGCCTGGAGGAATGTTGTCCATGGGGTCGTGATGGGTTGGACACGACTTTGCAACCAACAACAACATATGCTGGACCACCTATGGTGATGGAAGTGGACATTCCCACCTCCTCTTTCACGTTCAAGTCCCTTCAGCTCCCTGTTGTGTGTTGAAAATATTACATAAGACAATCAGGAGAATGTAGCGAATCTGTAGGATGTGGGGAATCTTTGAAACCTCGGTGTGTGTACTTTCTGTTGAATTGGACTTTCCTCTCACAGAAGGCCCCTTCCTGTCATGGGAGGCAGATGCTAGATCTAACTGCCCCCACCCCCCTCTTTCTTGGAAAAGGGTCTTTTTCTTTTAGTAGAATTCAAAGCACTTGAAAAGTGTGATCTCAGTGATCCTTACAACAATTATGTAAATAGATAAATATTATCTCCTCAATATAGTTGACTAGGTTTAAGGAGAACAGATTTCATAATTCCCCCATCCCAAGCTTGCTGTTTCACAGCTCAAGAGCTTATCCTCTATGGTGCGCGAATTTCACACAGCAAGGGGGCAAAAAGAGAGGAGGAACACTTAAAAACTAACTTTGGTTCCCCAGAATGCTTGATCAAGCTTATCTGGAGAATTTCCTTCTTGAGTCCAGAGATCTTTTCTTCTTAAAATATGAGGAAAACTCACCAAGCATTTCACCAATTGTGGAAAAAACAAACTAATGTTCGTGATGACAAAGGGAATCTTGAGTTTTCCTTACTCTGCATAAGATCTGTATTCGCAGTCTTAGTTTCACCATTTAGAAGAAAGGAACACAACCATTTTGAAGCTCATTGATGTGAATCATAAAAGGGGGGTGGGGTCTATCTTGGCTAGGTCAATTTCCTGCTTCCTAATCAAACAGACCTGAAGGCATACCCTCAGCTGCCACTTAACTGTGATAGTTTTCTTCCCAGTGGCCAGGAATAAGTGGAGCTTGGCTAGGAAGCATTATTCAGCAATACTGTTTTTGCTGATAAAACTTGTATCCAGAAATCACTAAGAATATTCATTTCAGAATTAATGACTCACATTTCAGTTTGTTCCTGGGGTATTTCCACCTACCTTACCTGCTACTGGAATATGAAATTACAGATTAGGAAATCACATTGCTAATCGGAAAGACTCCCCTTCCTCCCAGCTCAAAAAACAAATACACAAAATTTACATACTAAAAACTACCCAACCTTCTATACACCTCAATCAACTTTTTAGCTACAATTAGTATAGTCTATAGTGTTGTCTGTGATGTTCTCCTTTCATCTTGTTAGTAGAAATGTCTAAAACATGAGAACAGTTCCTAGAATGCAAGCCTGCTTGGAAATGTCTTGTATTCATGTAGGTATTTGTAGAAGGAAGGAAGAACATCTCCCATGATCTCTCTATTCTGACACCATGTATTCCTGCTGTGGAAAACAGGGCTGAGATTTGTTGATTCCATCTCAAATTAAACTGTGGCATCTGTGTAAACTGGGGTAGTCTAATTTTAGTTGAGTGTGTGCACTCATATTGTGTGAGAGAATTCAGTATTCATTAATCAATAATTAAAAAGATGTGATCTTCGGTAGATATGTGGTAGAGAGGGAGTTAGAGGAATTCTGTGTTCAAAATATCAGTATATACACACTAAAGCCTTTGATCTTTCTAAAACATTCAACTGAGACACGTAACACCAAATAAGAAGAAAACATGGTTGGTTCATTCTCATTACTTTTTCTTTGCAGGGGAGAATGTGCGCGTGCGTGCACACGAGAAAAGAAAGAATAAGAGAAAAGGAGAGACTGTAGTCAGTGAAACCACCGCATTGACCTCTCAGACTTGGATGGGCGGCGAAGATCCCCATCAGTGCAATGAATGCGGCTGCCCTCCGCAATGATCCTCATTAGCTGCTTTCTTCTTGTACATGTTTCAGCACCCTGGACCGCAGGCGGGGGGAACCACTGAGGAGCCAGCGTTAAAGGCGTCATCGCAGCCATTCCGAACGAGACAGAAAAGCAGGGAGATGGGAGTGAAGTTGCATTGCTACAAGCGAAAGCAACATCCCTTCTCTCTCCGTACTTTTCCAAGCTGGCTCAATGTTTAGAGAGGGCTCTCATTACTCAGGGGAGCAGGGACTGACGGATATACCACATAGCAGTGATAGCTGAGAAGAAAGGTGCTGTGAAGAACCCACTTCCTAACCACTGGGAAGGCTGGATTTGGACTCCAGACACCAGAGACCCCCAGTCTCACTCATTCTCTTCTCCTCCCCATCAGACGCCAATTGTACTTCCTAGCCTTGCCAGAAGAATGCTGGCAGTGGTGCAGCTGGAGCTCCAGCAACCAATCACCTTTTAAAATTTCTTTGCCCTTCCTTTCCTTGCTGGAACGTGTGTCTTTTTGGCATTACTCTGATGTGACTTTCCTACCCACCCCCTCACTCTGGAATGATGAGGATCTTTTGGGCTTATGTTGGATTCCTTTTCTTATCAGCATTATACATCCAGCAAGGACTTTCTTCACAAGGTAAGACCTGCTTTTTGCCAACATTTGAAGGGGAGGTCCATGGTGGACAGAGGACAAAGCTACCATAGTGGTGGGAGGGGATGTTTACAATTGAGGCATCCTGCTGCCTTTTTGCCTAAACTGTTATCTCACTCTGCCCAGGCAAAATAACAACTGAGGAAGAAGTTCAGTTGAAGTGAAAATGACATCCTTCCCCTGCACTTGGCTGGCAAGCATGAACATAACATAGCCAGCTGAGCAAATGCAGTGTTCATATTTGAGCATTTCATTTTTAAACTGGTACTTTTACAGGGCAGAATACAGCATACTACTATGCATATTCTAACCCTTGTGTATACCATCATAGACCCCGAGGAAAGGGAAATTTGCTTCTTTCCCTGAAACAGTGCAGTCCTTTTCAGAATGTCACCCCCAACCCCCACATGCCTAATCATCCTGTTCATAAATTTCAAACCTTGGTTTTCGCCTGTAATTTTACAAAGAACACCTTGTATTCCGGCCCAAACCTCCTATTATAAAAGGTGCCTCTTGCATTCCAAGTAGACCAGGCAATGCAGAATCAGTCTGGCTGTTTACAACTTGGAGGGCTGCAGTGATAATTTCAGCACCATGGATACACCGTATCGCGGCTGCCCGCTGAATGCTGCACCGACAACCGCGTAAACACTGTCAGCTCTCTCCCGCCCACCGGCTTGTTTATTTAAACTCTACTCAGAGGTAGCAGAGGTGGGATGGGGGAAGAAGAAAGGCTGCAGAAAGATAAGTGCTTTATCCTCTCGATGAGGTAAATATATACCGCTAGCTAGTGGTGGTTGGGAAGGAGAGGTATATTTTAAGAAAGAAAGCTAGCACACAAATTCACAAAAAAGATTTTTCAGATTTACACACAAAAAAGATTCACAGATTTACACCCGCCCCCCCCCCACCCGGACGTGCACATATACAAACGTTTGTTTGTAATGTAAGTAGTTGAAAGACTGTTGTGATATTTTCTCAAATAGCACAATTATGAGTCCCAGGGCACAGTGTAGCACATACCTATGGAATACTGTTGAAGCATTTTTGAATTTGTCAACTTGTAACATCATAAAACTAAAGGAAACTGGTGAATTCTTAGCTATTTACTTACCCTTTCTAGTCATTCTAAAAAGTGAAAGTTGTTGCTGCTATTGTTGTTATGCATATCTTATCACTAAGTGCTTCACATGGCTGACTGAATATGAAGAGAAACTGTATTCAGAAGGTTATAGGGATTATGACTTCCACTAGGATATATTCTGGTTATACAGAAATACACTATCATGATGTTATGTGTGTGCACGCATCCGGGTGCATTATGTGTGCTTAGAAGTGGTAGCCATACTGGAGTGTTAGGATTTAGGTGAAGAGGAAAAATATTTCTAGTTTATGGATCATTTGGACAAAAACATGCTTAAGTCTTGTCTTAACTTGGCATTGCAAACATAAAAGAGAACAAGAATGACATTAAGAGTTAACCACAGGACTGAGTGTGAAACATACACTAAGACAAGCAAGCACTGCAGTCACTTTTTAGACCATGCTGACCTATTCCAACTCATCAAAACAGCATTCAATGAACTAGCATGTATTTAAATTCACACATTGTAACCTTACCTATAATATATAAGTTACCTGGATTCATTTTCCAATTGGCTTTGTCCTGGATCCCCAAGAGTACGAGGGCTGAAATACTGTTTTAAGTAGAATGTTGAGATGTCATGAACTGCAACTTTGCAAACCGATAAGAAATGTTGGTAGGGTATTTAGTTTCTCACTAGCCAGACTGGTGGTGGCTTACTAGGTGATAGTATATGTGTAAAAAGGATGGGGGAGCAGATTTTAAAAAAATATATTTGCAGGGGAATAAGAAAAGTGTACAAGTAATAAAATAAAACATGGAGCCAAGAAGAGGCATGAAAATTAGAACAAGGAGGGACAGAAATAATGGAAAAAGACAGATATGCCTGCAATCCTGTGTGCACTTATCTAGGAGTAAATCCTACTGAACACAGTAAAGAGACATACACCCAGCACCTGCTGGCTCCTAGGTATGTAAATCAGCCCCAGTTTATTCAAAGGAATTTACTCCCAAGTAAATGTGTATAGGATAGTGCTCTAAGGGAAAGAAATTAAGAAGCAGAAAAGAAAAAGAACAGAAAGAGAGGAAGATAGGTGGAGAAAATGGGGAAGAAGGATGCCAATAAGATATGCTTTTCTTTTGCAGCCAAATTTACTGAATTCCCTCGAAATGTCACAGCTACTGAGGGGCAGAACGTGGAGATGTCTTGTGCATTCCAGAGTGGCTCTGCCTCGGTCTACCTGGAAATCCAATGGTGGTTTCTGCGGATAGCAGAGGATCAAGAACCTGGAGCTGAGGTGACAGGCATTCAGGTACCAGTTTGCTGCTCCTGAAATCCCGTGCAAGCTAGGGAGAACATGAGGATCCAGAAAATGCAGAATGTCCTGGGTTTCTGACTTGATTTGCTCTTTGACTGACAGCAGTAGAAAATTATATCCACTAAAAAACAACCACAACCAGGGGATAGTACCTTAAGCATGCATTTCATTTTTTGGTTCATTTCAAAAAGGTGCTAAGTTCATATGCATGGGTAATGTTGGTGTGTGTGTCATCTTAAGAATTTTTAAAAATAATTGATGGCAAGCCTTACTGTAAATATCATTTAAGCAATGGATTCAATGGAAATTGTCATCCTAGCTATGCAAACATGCTACTGAGTAACAAGACCTCCCACTTGGAAGGCTGCTTGCTACAAGGCTTCCCCTTCAGGGAATCTCATAATTTCATCCATTATTTCAGAATGACAAGCATATGGAGCAAAATTTCTCTAATACACCACACAATGGTCTCTTGCATTTATGATTTCTATGATTTCTGCATACCACACAGACCTCTTTTGACACAAAGGTGTGAATTATTTCTGATTTCTTTCTTGGCAAGGAAGAGGTTTCACATGTTATGTTTTTCTTTATTACAAAGGTGGAAAATCCACCTCATCATCCCTATCATTCTTCCAGCCTTCACCCTTCTAACAAAATGCTGACAATTATTTTAATGTATCCAGAGTGCTTCAGAATTCTTCATTTTTAATGCTGCAAAAAAGGTATACACCACTCTTCACTGTGGTGCTCCAGCCTTGTAAGACTGCCTTCAGTGACGGGCATTTAATAAAGCAAAATATGAGCTAAGCTGTGTAACACACTAGCTAACTGTGGCAAGAAGGAATGCTGTTCTGTCTATAGGTGGCAGGCTGAGTATGTGTCTTCTCAAAGGAAGGATGTCTGATTGTAATCAGTATTTCCATAACAATTGCTTCTCAGAAGGCTCCTTGCTTCTGGCCTTAGCACAAGTTCCCTCTTATCACTAAGTTCCTGTATAAGCAGCATGTTTCCTGCTTGATACATGCGGATGCATTGAGCAGGATGTTGGACATTATCTACTTATCTGCTTAGACTTTAGCAAAGCTTTTGACATAATGCCTCACAACATTCTGATAAGCAAATTAGCAAACACATGGAAACAGATGGAAAAACTATTCAGTGAATCCAAAATCTGCTGTTAAATTGGACACAAAGAGTGCTCATCAATGGCACCTTCTCAAATTGGATGGAGGAAACTAGTGGTGTTGCAGGGCTCATTCCTGGACCCAGTACTCTTCAACATCTTTATTAATGATTTAGATGAGGAAGTACAAGGAAAGATAATCAGGTCTGCAGATGATACAAAACTGGGCTGAATAGCAAACACCCTAGAAGACAGAATGAAGATCTAGGGTGATCTTGATAAACTTGAACACTGGGCTGAAAGCAACAGAATGAGATTCAATAAGGACAAATGCCAAGTGCTCCACCTAGGAAATAGAATCCAAATGCATTGATGCAAGATGCGGAATATGTGGCTCAGCAGAACTGAAAAAGAAAAAGATCTCAGAGTAATTGTGACAATAGGCTAAATATGAGCTGCAATGCAGCCACAATGCAATGCAGTCACCAAAAGGACAGATACTAATTTGGGATGCATCAACAGAAGTATTACTTCCAAATCATGAGAAGTAGTTCTGGGCAGCAAGATTTAAGAAGGATGTAGAAAAATTAGAAAGGGTCCAGCGGAGGGCAACAAAAATGAGGCAGGGTTTGGAAACACTGCCCTGTGAGGACAGACTTAGAGAAATGGGCATGTTCCACCTTGAGAAGAAAAGACTGAGGGCGGGGGCATGATATTCCTCTATAAATTCCTCAAAGGCTGTCACAAAGATGAAGGCAATATCTCTTCCTTCTAATGCCAGAGTGTAGGGCACGGAATAATCAAGTCAAATTGTGACAACCTAGATTCAGGCTGGACATCAGGAAAAGCTTCCTCACTGCCAGAGCAATACAACAGTGGAACCAGCTGCCTAGAGAGTTTGTGGGCTCTCCCACACTAGGGACATTCAAAAAGAAACTGGACAGTCATCTGACTGCAATGGTGTAACTTGTGTCCTGCACCAGCAGAGGGTTGGACCCAAGGACCTTCATGGCCCCTTCCAACTCTACTATTCTGTGATTCTATGACCCAATGGCCTTATTGTCCACTTCCAACCCTATTATGTTATGATTCTATGATATTCTATTTTTTAATATTAAAATCTACTTGCATCCAGCTCAAACTTTTCTTTTAACACTCATCAGAAGTTTCTAGGTAAAAGGGAAAAAATGAAAACCTAATTTGGGCACCCAGATTCATTTGCTTTCTTATATATATAAATGCACACACACACTCACACACCCACATACAAGAGGGTACTGTTAGGGATAAAAGGAGCCTGCACCCTCCCAAAAATCTGTTCTTGTTTTAGTCCAGAGCAAACAGATTAACTTCTGGACATCATGTGGATGTCTAAAAAAGAATGATCTAGATTTCAGACTGGATCCAGAGTAAGCTAGATTCACTAGCCCCAACTGGTGTCAGTTACATTATTCTCTGTGGTCCTACTTAGAATGCCTGCTTGGCCCCCCCCGCCCCATGTCTCCGATTTGCAATAGAAAGACAGCCCCGTATAACACCAGTGGAAAATTTCCTTCTATTTGGAATAGCAAGCGCTTAAGTGTATATACTTCTAACTAGGACCACAGCAGCAACAAAGGGTTCAAAAACATGCTGGGGATGACCATATGGCCCAGCCAATATCATGACCAGTCTGACTCCCCACACATCCCTTCTATGGAGTTATTCAAGAAATAGGCCCTTTCCATGTCTTCTGCACTCCCCTCTACTAAATCCTGAAAAGGGAGGATTGCTTGGTCCCATCCATCATGGAAATGCCAAAACAGTTTCAACTTTGATCCAGTATGAACTGAGCTGAGCTCCAATCAGAAATAGATCTGAAGAGGAGCCTAGCATTGGGTGTCCACATATACACCATTCACTATTTGCTAAACTCTGAATACTGTGGCAATTTTAAATTGCTAATTGGTCTTTATCCACTCTGTCTCAAATATTCACTGGCAAAAGCATAATACTTTGTTCTCTTTCCCAGTGAGTTGTCCACACAATCAGTTGCATGATAGAAAGCATGCAATTTGCTTAGCTCCTTTCAGTGTGCGAAGGATGAGATAATTATCTAAATTGCTGACATGATGAGAGAGAATTCTTTATGGTGGCTGATATGACAGTAATTCACATATTCAGGAAGACACAAGCCAGCACTTTGCTGTCTTGCTCCCCAAATCAGTGTTTGCTCCCTCCCTCCCTTCCTCCCTCATACATACACTTCTGCACTCTCATTCTCCCATTTCTTCAATGTATGTACACACATGCATCTGTGAATGTACTTGGTTGTGACATGCACAGAATAGCTGTTATAAGTTGTTCCCAGGAATAGAATCTGGCACTTTGTTTTTGGCATTGCCTTTACCTAGGTAAATGTCAGAAATATAATTGTTCTTTTCTGCTTTGTTGGCATGCTTAACTCCCAATGCTGTGTAGGGAATGCTTCCATAGAAGCTAGAGGGACTGGTTGAAAACAAAGAAAGACTTAGGTGGAGACCCTCTCTTATTTTGGCTTTTGCCATTTAGTCATGAAGATGCTTCTCAAGTGGTTAAATTAATGCTTTGAATTAATAATACATATGTTGACTAAATGTCATTGCAAACAAGCAATTCACCATTTTACTCATATTTAACACTGAGGGAGAAATGGAGCTCAGAGGCGGGGAAAGCAGTTTCACATCAAATTATACAATTTATGCCAGATTTTCCCTGTTTTACTATTGTTCTAGAAATAAATCCCTCCACTTGATCAAAAAGGCTTTGGGCACAGCAAGCTTGTGGAAGAGGCAGAGCATATTGGCATGGAACATACCAAAGGTTCCTGAGGGGAACAGCTTGTTGGGCTAGGCCTCTTAGTATTTTTAGTGCCCATTCACCTGCCTTTGGGGGACAATGCAGGATTAGTTGGTCATGTCTGAACAAAGCAAAACTTTTAGTGTGGCTTCAGGAAATGAAGCAGGGAGCAGAATGCTCAGGACCAGGGCAGGCTCACTCTAAATAACCTGTAGGCAGGCTTAGTTGCTAGGAGGCTCCCATGTTTGAATAACATCAATCAGAGGGTTAGTGTTGTAGACCTTATTTGTTAAAAGTTAGAAGCTTTTGGAGGGGACATTTCTGGCCTTGCTATATGCTCAAAAGTTGTTGAAACTCTTGGGAAGGAAGATAAGCTCACTATGAGTACAAGGTTTCAGTACAAGCTCTTTGTCATTTTTTGGGGTTTAGCCCGGAAAAAAAATCAGAACTTGCAAATGTTTCCAGATCTTCTGCAAGCTTGCCTACAGTTTCTGGAACTTTAAAAAAAATCTTTTGCAGACAGTTGTTTAACTCTGACTAAGCTGTGATTACTATTGAAGACCTGAATGAAGAATCTACTTAGATCATCCTTCTTCAACTTGGTTGCCCTCAGATGTTTTGGATAACTCCCATCAGTCGCAGTCAGCATGACCATTGGTAAGGAATACTGGGATCTGTAGTACAAAACATCTGGAGGCTTCAGGTTGGGGAAGGCTGGCTTAGGTGACAGATTTCATGCTGACTACATTTTAAGCAGCAGAAAAATTCAGGGTAATTACATTCAGTCTGTAACACATTCATGCACTTCAAGATCTGTAACACATTCGTGCAATTCATATTGCAAACACATTCATTATGAATTGCAGCAGTGTCAACTAGCATACTTATTCTAGTGGCAACCCAGATGCCTTTGGGAAGCCTACAAGCTGGCACAAAAGCCAAACCCTTCCTTGTTATTTGATGCCATTGTCTGATATTCAAAGATGCACTATCTCTCAATGGAGGTTCTGTTTAGCTGCCATTTGTTAAAGACTTATATAACAGCTTTCCCTAGCCTGTTGCTCTCTAGATGTGTTGGACTACCACTCTCAGAACCTTCCAACTACTTATGGTGGCCAGGGGATTCTAGAAGTTGTAGCCCAAAGCATCAGGAAGTCAACAGGCTAGGGAAAGATGGGTTTTGAATTTGACTGAGCCTGTCTTAAATCCCCTAAAACTAGTAGCCATCACAAGGTTCTGGAAGGAAGCCAGAACAGCTGTGAGACATAGGGTCAGTGCATCCATACTGTGATCAGCACAAGAACACTCCCATAATGATTTTATTAAAAACAGACTCAATAATTGGCAGGTTCTTCTCCTTTCTGTTGACATGTTTAAACCTGGCAGCTCCAGAGTCTATTCAAGGACCTTTGATTCATTCTTCACAGTATTCTCTACCTGTGGCCCTTTGAATCAAGCTGTGGAAGGCCAGCTCTTGCCTTGGCTGCGATAGCCTAAGATGGAACTAGCCAGAAATGGAGGGTGGGCAGGATGGAGGCCATGGGGAAGCTGCAGCTGAGCAGCAAGGAAGGGAGGGATGCCATGAGGAAGTGATGTCATCATTCGACTGGATATTCCTTTCCTTTTCCATGGAAAAACAGCTATCCATTCCCCAACAGGTGGAGTTATTACCAGAAAGAGATTTGGACAACGATGGAACAAAGATAAGCGTAAGTTCATGACAAAATATAGAATGCTGCTATATTCTAAACTGATGCTTTCCATTTGCTTTCCTCTCTTTAATTAACCATCTAAAACCCCATGAGCAATGGGCTAATTAATGGCATATCGTACTTTCTGAATCTTCCTCATGCCTTTCAGATCAAGTATTACATAAGTGTAGATAAACAGGTTGCACTTTCCCAGAAAGGCAGCCTGTCCCTTAGCTGCCTCCTTTTGGGTTGAACACATCTCTGTGGATAGATTGATTGCCTGCAGAATTATCACTGCCTTTCTCCCAAATTGAAATGGTGAGGATTCCTTCTTGGGTTCAGTGAACATCTGAGGAATGTAAAAACTTATACCTCACTATCCCCAATGGGATCTCAGTGCTTGCTGAAAGCATATTCATTCAAGCATTCAAAGATTTTCAGACTAGCTTTGTTAGCTATATTGTTCTGTTGAGAATTTTTATCTCAATTTGAATAGTTGCTTTAACAAATTATAATAGCTACTTTAATCAATTTTGTACATTGGTCCAGAATTTGTTAATGAAATTTTATGTAGATATTTTCAATGAATACTTAATGAATTCATGTGGGGTTTTAGTTAAGCTGTACTGTTCGTTGCCACTTCCCTGACCCCATAGCTGATGTCGTGTCACAGAAGATATTGATGACTTCACAATGCACCAGATGCTTGCGTATGCACAGCAAAACCTAATACAGTCGCAGATGTCTTCAGGGGCTCACTATGTCTTGCAGCACATGCAACATCCACTGCATTATTGCCAGAGCTGATATCCATGATGAGGGTTTTGTAGAATATGATATGCTTAAGGCATCTAGAATAAGATCTAAGACTTACTAAAACCTACCTTTAAGGCCTGGTAAATCCTGGTTTTGTCCTGGGATAGTTTTATACCATACAGAGGCAGCGACTTTGGTGCCTGTGCTTGATGGGGTTGAACCCAATGGCCTTCATGGCCCCTTCCAACTCTACTATTCTATGATGGGATGGAATTCAATTACTATTGATCATGACAGTGCATAGATGATGTTGGGGAGAAAGTAGCATATACATTTTTATATCCGATAGTGAGTACAAAATAGGGTTTCACTGATGCAGTTAGCTGATTTCTTAGAAAAGTATTTCTCATGTGAAACATGTGAAAATTGTGATGGTGGCCAAAGTGGTTAAACATAGAAACAAAACAAGTCAGAAGGGGTCTCCTGGGCCATCTAATCTGACCTCTGGCTCCATCTGGCTCTGCTCATGCAATCCCCAACATGTGGTTGCCCAATCTTTCGTTGAATATCCTCATTGATGGGGCCTCAATCCACCTTCCTTGGAAATCCATTACAAGGATTAAAAGATTAATAAACATTTCTTTGGGAGTTCACATATCCCTAGATTTGCAAACAGTTTATTTGATCAACTTAAATTGCAGTGATCATAGGATACCCTGAATGTGTTTGAGTTTGATATGGCATAGCTAGGTTGTACATAGAAAATAATGGTCATTAGGAATGCTTGTCATTCCTATGGTAGGATTCATTTGCCATTAACCTCTGCTTATAACCTTGATATTCTACTTGGACTGACCTGGACTTTCAATGTATATTTTGGCTATCATGCTGTAAAGATTCAAGGGATGTATGCCTTTTTAAAGTCTGCTTATTTAGCGTGCACACACACACACACACACATGCACTGATCATCCAAAGTTAATCAATGTTAATGGTCATTTATGAATCATCTGGAATGTTCCTGTTGAGATGGTTGGGTGTGTGGTGGAGTTCAGAGACTTCAAAAGCTGCTGTGCCTCTGCTGGCATGAATTGGGTCATCTTCACTGCTCCCAGTATCACAATAAAACTATCAAAGGCACTATTAAGGACCACCTAAACCAGACTGAGAACCCTCTGGGGTTTTGAGACTGTTTGATGATTTGTGCAGTCTCCTGCACTTGTTCTAACTTAAGTAATCAGAATGCAGGACCTAGAATAACCAAACAAGGCAAGGCACACCACTGGTCATGGATCATGTTCTGACAAGTATTTTATTAATATCCCTTTTTTCATGATCTCTTTTCATGTCCTCACCTCAATTTTATAATGCTATTTTCTGGCATTAACTGAGTTTCATTAGCATACTTATTGGGGGAAGTGTTCCTCTTGGAGCTACCATCTGCCATCTTTTATTCTCATGAAATGATGCTCTGTGATGTCAAGTATTCTTCCAAAAAGAATTATTCTGGGAGAAAATTAAGGTACTTAATGAAAAACAGAATGAGATATGTGCATTTGTGTGAGTGTGTCCTCCTTTTGTCCTAATGCATTACATCCAGTTAAAGCTGAGAATCCCCCACCAAGAATTTTTGATCTGACCTCAGTTTTAGTATGTGTTTGCTCATCTTTATTCATCTTTATTTATTATTTGATTTTTGTCCACTCCATTAGCCATATGGCTGCCTATGTGGGTTACAGTCAATAAAAGCATGTTAAAGCAATATAAAAGATCACTAAATAAGGAGGAAGGAGATCCAGTGACTGATATGAGGGAACAGGCACAGATGCTAAAGGATGATTTTGCCTCTGTGTTCTCCCCAAAGCAGGACAGGGGAGATACACATTGTAGATTAGATGAGGCCGGGGACTTAGGGGCGCAGATTAGAGTCACCCCCCCTAGAAGTCAAGAGGCTCCTCAGGGCATTGGATGGTACAAAGGTGCCAGGCCCTGATGGGTTACACCTGAGAGTACTTAGAGAGTTGGCTGGCCTCCATTTTTCAGGCCTTGTGGAGAACAGGTGAAGTTCCAGAGGACTGGAAGGTGGCGTCAGTGGTCCCAATTTTCAAAAAGGGTAGTAGAAGGGACATGGGGAATTACAGTCCAGTTAGCCTAACGTCCATTGTAGGAAAAACAATGGAAAGTCTCATAATAGAGATCTAGTGATGCTAGATAGGGAAGGGAGGCTGACAGCCACACAACACGGCTTCCGCAAAAACAGGTCCTGCCAGACAAACCTTGTGGAATTCTATGACAAGGTTTCGAGATGGCTAGATGGAGGGGATGCAGTGGATGTGGTCTACCTGCATTTCAGCAAGGCCTTTGACAAAGTGCCGCATGATATCCTGGTTGGGAAACTGAGGAGTATTGGGATAGACCAAAACACTGTCTGATGTATTAGGGCATGGTTGACTGACCGAAAGCAGAGGGTAACCATTAGTGGGGAATCATTGGGATGGTGACCAGTGACAAGTGGGGTCCCCCAGGGCTCTGTCCTGGGGTCGATCCTGTTTAACCTTTACGTCAATGACATGGAAGAAGGGGTGAACAGTCTGATCAAATTCGCAGATGATACTAAAACTGGAGTAGTGGCCACAAATGAGGAGCAGGTACTCCAGATCTAAAACGATCTGGACAGACTATGGAAGTGGACAGGGGACAACAGGATGGTGTTCAATGTGGAGAAGTGCAAGGTCTTGCACTCGGGGCATAGGAATAGGTGTCATAAGTACAGGTTAGGGGACAAGTGGCTGGAGAGCAGCACTTGTGAAAGGGACCTCGGGCTGCAGGCTAAACATGAGTCAGCAGTGTGATGGGGTGGTTAAGAGGGCAAACGCCACCCTTGGTTGCATAGCAAGAAGTGTGGCTTCTAGGTTTAGAGAGGTATTACTACCACTCAATACAACTTTGGTGCACCCACAACTGGAGTATTGTATTTGGGTTTGGGCCCCTCAGTACAGTAAGGATATAGCCAGGTTAGTCAGTACAGTGTAGGGCCACAAAGTTGGTGGCCAGTTTGCAGGAGATGGGTATGAGGCGAGACTGATGGAACTGGGTCTCTTCAGCCTGGAGAAGAGGAGACTCAGAGGGGATATGTTGGTGACATACAGGTATGTGATGGGGTGTCACACGGAGGTGGGTAGAGACCTGTTCTCCCCTGCAGAGGAAGGCAGGACGCGTTCCAACGGAGCAAAGCTCAGGGAGCCAAGGTTCCATTTAGATGCCAGGAAGCACTTCCTGACAGTCAGGACCCCGAGGATGTGGAATGGGCTTCCACGAGAGGTCGTTGAGGCCCCATCGGTGTGGGTGTTCAAGGATAGGCTGGACATGCACATGATGGGCATGTTGTGAGCGGAGCTGGCTGGTGCCGGAGGTCAGACTAGATTGCCCGGGAGACCCCTTCTGACTCACTCTGTTTCTATGTTTCTCTGTTTCTAAATTGCAGAAGTTATGGTTAAAACAACTCTTTTGGTGTGCGTCTTTGACTTGATTCACTTACTTGCATGGTCTTGGTTTTTTGGTTTCATTTGGTTTTGTGCCATGTCCTCTTTTCTTGGTTGTGGGGTGCCCGTTCTTGGTTTGGGTGCAGAATGTAAATGTTTGATAGATACCCCTGCCTTTAAAACAGACAAACTGGAAAATAGGTCTTTGCATTAGGCTGATCACTTATGCACTATTCACTTAGTCATTGATGCCCAAATGAGGGCATCATTTTATATTACATTTATCTATGCTAATATATGTGTATAGGTCCCAATTTAGAAAAGATAACTTGCATTTAATTATATATGCAAGACAACTCGTCCTGATGAGGATAAACAATAACTGGCTTGGTTCCCTCTTCTGCTGCTCAGTCTGCTGTCCAGGTGCCATTTTTGGATGGACATCCTCAAGGTTTCTGTTTTTCTCTTGCCTTCCATTGCCTTATCTGTACATTGGACTTGGACTGAATAGCCCATTAAAAGAGACCTCTTTTGAACAGAGGACAATCTCTGTAAATTAGGATACCAGGTAATTCCTACCTCCTTTTTAACTCTAGGATTCAATTTACCTAAAAGTTGAACTAACCTAAAGCAAGAGGGGCACTGTGTACTACGCCTAAGGTCTGTGGCACAGATGCAATCCCCCCACAACCCTGCCTCCCAAGTTTAATTACTGGAATTTGATACAAACAAGGGCTCCAAAAGGTTTGGTTGATTCTTAATCAGAATTCAGGATAAAGCCACATTATAGGCATGCAAGCAGCTTCCTTTAGGATCCTCAGAATGGTGATTTGTTCATCTTTCAGCAACCTCCATGGCAAATGGATCCAATATAGTCAAGCTATCATGAGCAGTACCATGATGTCCTTAATGCCTAGAGAGAGAAGGCAAAATCACATTGATTAGTCATTTTTAAAAACTTCCTTAAGGCCAAAATGTTTTGTTTCAAAACATAAGCACTGTCTAACATCCAACCGTTCCCAACTGCATATTTTGATTCTAAGGGCCTTAGTCTATTCAACCCTAGTGCTAATATCAGTTATGTTGCAGAAGTATAGTAATACCAAGAGGGCTTGCTAGTGTGACAATTTTCCAGGGAAACCTGGAAACTGCCCTAAGTCTTCAATCCTATGTATACATAAACTCCATTCAACTCCCCTTTTTATTTATGTAAATTATTTCTGTACTATGGTTAAGTTTTTACTCTTTTGTAAACTGTGCAGGGAGCTTTGGCTACTTGGCAGGATGCCAACAAAATGAATAAAAATGCCAGTACGTATGAAGTTTACAATTCAGAAATAAATGATAAAACTTTAATAGAAATGCAAACGTTTGAGCCCTACTGGAGAAAACTGTGGCTAGGTGTCCTGGGTACCCACTCAATCCAGTCTACATCATCTAACTGGTGATAGTTTGCTTCAAGGCCCCTCCTCTCCCTTCTTAGCCTCATGCTCTTTAACCAGATTTAGACTAGACAGCCTTTCAAATAGAGGTCTCCTTCAATTAATGGACTGTCCTTTGCAAAAGAGGATGGGGCCCATTAATGCAGGGTAGGTGACATTGATATTCTTTGATATTCTTTCTAGCCCTGCAGGTTCCATTACACCCCACTTATTCCTTTCCATGAGTGAAAGACTTTCCTTGTGGAATGGGAATTAGTGCTTCTGGAGTCAACTGGAAGCAGGTGAAAACACTGATTTCTAGATTGGGGCAGGTCAGCAATGCTTGTTACATAGAAGCTTTGCCAGCTTATCACAGAAGACAGTCATGAAAATGGCTCCCTAAAGGAGAGCTGCGCACCTGCTGATGGCAATGTTGATATAATATGTTGTTTCTGGAAATTTTTTCAGACAGTGAAAGTACAAGGGAACGACATTTCCCACAAGCTGCAAATCTCCAAAGTCAGGAAAAAGGATGAAGGGTTATATGAGTGCAGGGTGACCGACGCAAATTATGGAGACCTTCAGGAATACAAAGCCCAGGCTTATCTCAAAGTGAATGCAAACAGCCACTCCCGAAGAATGCAGGCCTTCGAAGCTTCCCCAATGTGGCTACAGGATAAACCTCGAAAGAACATCTCTGCAGCCATCCCTAGTAGCATCCATAACTCTGCCAGTCAGCGAATGCACTCCACGTCCAGCCCTCCAGCAGATGCCAAAATCCCCAAACAAAGCCCTCAATCAGGTATGGGAAACCATTTTGAGCACTTGAAGGATTTTACTGCTAATGACCTTGGGGATATGATCCAAATTCAAAGTATAAAGTGAAAAGATTGTTACTAGAGAAAAATTCTTTTTTGCTGTCTCACACCCAAAGCCCTATTAGAAAAGCACATTACACACAAATCAATAGTTTGGCTATGCTTGCTCCTCCTGGCTGAACAAAACAAAAATGAGAGGGATTGGCATGGTAAACTGCCTTAGTTCCTACCAGGCCCACACAGTTTAACCATCAAGTCATGTGTAGTCAATGTGAAGCCAATTAGCCATATTTGGCAGTATAGGAAGTGTTTGATAAACCTTTTGTTTCTCAGATTAGAAAATGTGAGCAAATGGCAGGGATTATCAAATCCTTAGCCTAATTAGCTTGATTGGATACTGTGTCTCCAGCCCTTCCTCAAACATATTGAAAGAGAGCACATCTCAAGTTCATAGACAAAAATTGTTACTGAGGACAATTAAGCTGAGAATGAAACATCAAGAGCCAAACTAAAAGGAATTATATCCAAGAGTACTGCTTTTCTTTTTCCCACTCTTTTTTCTTCATTCTTGAATGGAGAGTATGATCTGCCTCCATTTACCTATAGTCTCTGCAGAACAAGAGGGCTGAGAATCTTTTAGCTATAAAGCTGATACCCATTTTGGAAAAGCTTCAGAAGCCACATTCTAGAGGTAGGCAGGCCCACAATAGCAACCTATTGCAGTATAAGCTCTTACTGCCAGTGCCTAAGCCTTAGGAGAAGCATTTCAACCCTCTAGAATAAAATCCAGGGAACTACCACCAATTAGTCATTAAGGGAAGGGGGATGGAGCTTGAGGAAAGGGGCACAGCCATCAGGGGAAGCAGAGGGTAGGACTGGGCCCCCAGATAGCCTGGATTTAGCCTGTGGCCCAGAAATTCTGTACAGCCCAATGTGCATATCTTGTGACTCACCATGTCCACCAGTCTTCCTGTTGTTCAGTTCTTGAGTAAGCAGCAAACCCAAGTTTAGCACACTCCTAGTGGGCAACTATACTTGGCTGGCAGACTGTAGGCCAGAAAATGTAAGGTTTGTTCTCAACACTTGTTTAGCAGTTGCTATCTTATTTACAGTTAGAATGCTTCTAGAGATGCAGAACAACACATGGAGAGAGAAAGAGACAGCCTCAATTTTCAGTTGAAAGAAATGAAGGGAGAAAGAAAAGAACCAAGGAGACCTTTTATATTTTGAAATATGTCAATATTTTAAAAACAAGTATGTCTTCCCGCATCACAACTGAATGTAATTCCTCTTGTTTTGGCATGGGATTACTGCAGGTGTCCTGTCTGTTTACTTGCATGCAACCACTTGGTAAGCTGGTCTTTGTATTATTATTTGAAATGGGAAGATGAATTCTACCACCATTAAGATTCCCAAGACTTCTGATTAGGTGTGGAGGTGAGGTGAGTGGTGAAGCAGAGTGGCTAAAAGGCTGAGCTATGAATCATGATGCCATTAGTGATTGCTTAGGTAAGCCACACTTTTTCTACCTCATTCCTTGATTGGCAATATGGGGATAATAATATTGACCTATCTTACAGGATGGTGGTAAGATCTCATTAAGAGAAATAGTTGAAACACTCAAGAGATCTGTACATATGCTAAATATCATTACTTCATTATTATGTCCATGAAGTAATATGGTAACTATCCACTTACCAAGTGGTTACAGACATACACCAAATGGTGCACTTCATTTTGGCAAATGGCCATCTGTGATCTCCTTTGTGATATGACCTTCTTAGTCATGGATAATGTTATTCAGATTTGGATCAGACCCTAGTAATAATAATGCCCAAGCCTGGTTTGGAAGTGTGTTTACACTGAAACCTAGTTTTGCTTTTTTCTTGCAGATACTACATAGTGTTGAATGAATAGCCAAATGAATGTTTTTAAACTATAGCATTTGCAGTCCTGAAAACTGTGGAAGACATGGCTGGGCAAAGCAGTACATTTGCTGGCCTGCTCCCTGCAGTAATATTAAGATGAGATTTGAGAGGCAGCCAAGGAACACAAGGGGAAACAGAAAAGGGCTCTGGAGGGAGGAAAGCATGGTTTTCCAAAGTTGTCAAATATACTTTTTTATTACTGAAATGGCCCACACGTCATTATGCACTGACTTTTTAAACTTTATTCTTAACAATATCAGAAATCTCTATAGTTGTCTTAAAAATTGAAAGATGCAGATTTCATGACAATAGTAGGATTGCCATCCAAATGTATTGGACTGCAACTCCCACAATCCCATTCATGGTTAGGAAAGCTGGGAGTTGTGGCATAAAACATCTGTAGGACACCAGGTTGGAAAAGAGAGTACTGTGAAAAAAAAGTTACATGGATAGTGGCATTTCTGTCTGTAAGACTTGCTGTACCAGAAAATGTGGACAGACTATACCAGTTACTATGAAATGAAGCCCTGCTGAATGGGAAATGCTGGGAGTTCTGGTTCAACACATCTGGAGGCTGACACAATAGGGCTGTGGAAACTGTGGACTGCATTTCCCAACTCCCCTGCTCCAACCTGCCTCTCTCACCCAGGGAAAAGAAGAGTGGGTGGGGAAGCAGGGATAGGAAAGAACTGCAGCCTGGAAGCAGATCTTTGTGGATATGTGAAGCCCTCAGAGATGGAGCAGAAGATCATTTTACTAATTTTGAAACTAAGGCAGTATTGGGATGGTTGCACACACTTTGACACTGTTGGAAAAGCTCTGGAAATGAGGGCCTAATGTAGTGTTGAAATTATTTCAGCTTGCTGTTGAACTGGCAGACACCTGAACTCCTATATTTTGAACTTAGCTTCTCTGTGGCACCTCCTAGATCAGGACTGACAACTTGTGGCTCTCCACAGTTTTGGTCTTTGACTCTCATCAGTCTTAGGCAGCATGATCAATGGAAAGTGGTGATGGGAATTGTAGGCTAAAACATCTGGAGGGTCATTAGTTGCCCATGCCTGTCCTAGGTGCACAACCTAGGTGGTGGCAACCTTCTCTGTGTCTGTTAGCTGCATGGCAGGGTTTTTTTTTCCCAAAGGTTATTGACTGACAAGTATCTTTAGCACTTGCTTCATACCCTGCTATATTGACATTCTTCTGGTCAATAAATTCCATATGATTACATATTGCATTTGAGGTTTTCAGAAATCAGAGGGCCACAGCAGAAGACAACATAGCAAATTCATAGAATGATGAATAATATAGAGGAAATGAAAAGGTTTGGGTTTTTTGTTTTTGTTTTTTGTTTTGTCCTCCTTTCCCATAGTATGACTGGTACTAGGTTTAGGCCAGACAAAGGGCTTCACCACCAGTCACATAATTAACTGCTACAATTCACTGCCACAAGATGTAGTAACAGCTGTTAAGTTTGATGGGTTTGAAAAGGAGTATCCTTTATTTATTTATTGGCAGGGTAGGCCTGTCTGCAGCTATTGGTGGGTCACAAGTGATTGTGAGTTTCCAAGAGCATCCTTCCCTAGGCTGATGCCCTTCAGACTTTTGAAAATTCTGGAAATTGTAGTGTTCAACATGTGGAGAGCACCAGCTTGAGGAAGACTGCCCTAGAGCAATCTAACTGGCTCTGGTCTGACAGCTGGAATAATTATGTATTTGGCCTGGTGCTGCATGGTAATCCTTATCTTATTCAATTTTCCTACTCAGTGACAGATAACTATGATGTTGCATTGACATGTATTGACATGCAAGATATGGTACACTGATATGCAAGAGATTTTGAATTCCACTTATATTTAGTGCAATGGGGCAAACCAGCATAAGTGGCAATTATAATCTGTTATTATGATGGTCATTTAGGGCAATACTTCATTCTTTTTCCACCCCAGAAATATACTACATTTCTGTTTTATTTTCACTTCATGTTGCAAGGCTCTGCACTTATTGCTGGAATAACTGGACATACCAGAGTCTGTATATATGTTATAGTCACTTTGGGACCCCCACTGGATTCATTTTAAATGCCAATTCATTTTATATAAAAATGTAGAAACATTGTGGTAAAAATGCTAATACATCATTACTTACTGAGTATGCACACACAAGTATTTTGCAACTTATTGAGAAGTATATTCATGATAATTATTACAGTAAAGTGTGAACAATCTAAAAAAGGTCCTGCTATAAATCCTCCATGTTCACAAGCAGAAAATGAAAGAATCATTTAGTGCCAAGGGAGAGATGCATAACTAACTTTCACTGAAGAAGCCCCACAGATTCCAGTGGAATCAAACAGAATCCCCAGTCTGGAAGAAATTACTTTGTATTCCTTGTCTCCTTGTTTCCTTGTTTACATCCAGTTCTCATGAAAAACTTTGAGGAGATCTGATTTATTTATTTATTTTTTAAAAAAGTTGATTGTACATGGATTCTGACAGAAAATTGATAGAATGTGTCATTTTTAGTTTTGAGGTATTAAGATATACAACAGTGGGCCTGCTTCATTTTTATGTCTAAGTGTTGTGGCAAATTGAAACTACATTGCCTGCTTCTGGAACAGCACCTTACTGAAGTATCACAGTGGGGAGTTTCAGCGATTGAAGAACATAAAGCAAATCATTTTGCAAAATTATTTTTTGTGTATGCAGATAGCAAACATTCTCGAGTCCTATGGCTACTAAATAGTATTGCAATCAATCACAGTTACTCACTAAAGCATGACAAATCCCTTCTGGAACTAACCCAGTAAATACATTCAGAAGGTATGCTACTACTGATAGACACACAAGTGTCAGGAAATATTTTCTACCTAGAAAATTTGGGGCATGTTTTGATGGATCTGCTGCTGTGTTAAGCTGGGCAAAATGATTGTCCCTCATAAACTAAAGGGTCCATTTAAGTAACATGTCCAACATTCTCCTCTAGCTATACACTGCAGAAAAGCAGGAAGAGTGGCAAGCTATATTTTGGTGGAACCGCCTCTCCATTATGGATCTTCTTATTAAAACCCCTAAAAAGCTTTGAAATTACCCACTGCCATATCATATTTCACAGTGTAACAATACAAATAGCAATTAAATGAATAGCACAAAAATAGAACAAATAGAACTAAATGAATAGCAATTAATATCTAACAGCATGACAGCTTCTGCAGTTTCATATTTAAAGCTTGCCAAAAATCAAAACTATCCAGAGATTCTTCCCAGCACCACTCCCTCCAATAAATAAAAAAAATCAATTTCTGAAGCAATTTTTCAGATGCCATGATTTAAGTGGAGGTTTTCACATTTAAAATATAAATTTGATTTTGTTGTTCCAGGTTTTCAGGCTGGCTCCAGGTACAGCCACCAAGTTTCCATACCCCCCTTTGCCCTGGGTAGGAATCACCAGGTTTACTTTTGTACCATGTCTTCTCCTCCTTGTCAATGTCCTTTCACTTCATCCCTGGCTCACTGTTCTCCTTGCTGTGACAATTTTATTGTGACTCTCTGTTTCCATCCATTCTTACATATACATAAGAAGAGGAGAGGCAGACATACATTATTTTATACTTTCAGTAGACTTAAAAAAAATTCCTCTGGGTGATAGAAATAACATGAGCATAAAAAGATTTAAGGTAACTGTGTCTGGACAACAGGTGCTTCCCCACCAAGGAAAGCAGCAAAGAAAAAAATATGAAAATGTGGGTCTTACATAGCATTAAAAATAATTTTGAAAAGTGCAACTCATAAGCATCAAGGCAATGGAGCTTGCACTGCCTGCCTGCAATTGGAAGTTGGATTTGACTTGGCAAGAGGACTGAGGGGTCAATTTAAGTAGAGTGCTGTAACCTAAGTGGAGCTTCAATCCTCCCTGCAGCCTGCTTTCAAATGGACTGTTGGATGTATTGCAGTGCCTTTTTCCCAGCACAGTCCTCTGCTCAAACTTGTTACCTCCACGTAGGAATGACAGCACTAATCAGTGCTCCAGTGTGATTGTGTGCTATTCTTCCAGCATGAGCTCAACATTCAGCATGCAGCAGGACCATTATGCCAGTGGACAGTATTTCAGTGTTGTTGTACACTATGATCACTGGCTGACTGAATTCACAGTATTCAGTGAGAAATACACTTCAGAGCTGTTGTAAACTGCTCCCTTTCCAGCTTGAGCCACAGAGCTCCCCAGCCTTCCATATGGGGGCCATGAACAGACTTTTCTTTGGTAGGACAAGCTAAGTCTCCCTTTATTTATTTTCCCCATGAAATTTGTCATGCCTAAGTACTGGGTTAGAAAGAGTAATCATTCTGTGTCGCATTCTATCATGCTTTGTTGTGTGTGTGTGTGTGTGTGTGTGCGCGCGCGCGCCAGAGGGACAGGAATGAGGTGGAACACTAGTGCCCCATTGCCCTAATGTTTAATTCTTATCTGTCTTGATTGATTGGCCTGCCTAAAACAGATGGATCAACCTTGCCCTTTCAGTATCTCTTGGCATCTCTCTTCTTCTTTGCTTTTCAGTGGGATTTGAGATAGAAAGACAGATCCTAGAGAGCTTAAAGGTTATATGCACACATACACCTCTGTCCTACACCCCTGCCATCCCTAACCTATCAGAAAAAACTGTAGCTTCTTTCTGGTCCAAGACACCCATACTCTGACCTCCAACCTTGTCTCTTAAATGGTCTGTGCTCCTTGTCTCCCATCCCGTCCTGTCCCGTCCCTTCTTGTCCCTTCCTCTTCTGCTTGCTGCAGCAACTGGGTGGCTGGCAAGTGCCCCACAGTGCCAATTCTTGGGTCTGAGGATGTGCTGGTAAAACAGGAGGATTCAGCAGACGTGTGGAAATATGTTAACAGGCAGCATACATTGGTCATGGCTCCTGTGAATGAATGGGCAGCTATATTGCATTAGCTTCTGAATTATCTTCAGAGATTTGCCTTCAGAATTTGTTCTCAGGGTCTTTGTAAATAGAGACTCCCTGTCTGTATTACTGAGTAACCACAAACCTGCCCATCCATCTTAGCTAAGGGGCACCATACTTGAAATCTTACATGTCCCATTTTAAAATCTAAACACTCAATAGAGGCAGGTGTGGATTTGTGAGGGAGAAAGGCTAAAAACTGTGCACAAGCCTAATGCCCATTTAAGATACATTTGTTCAAGAGTGTTGAAATGCCACTCTTTTCCCTCTGATTTTTCAGAAAGAGCAAATTTTTAAATGCTGTTTCCCACAGCTCACAACCTCATTTTGTTGCATTGCCTTCAATTGTGGTGGCCCACAAAAGTGTTTGATGACATTGCAGTGTCTGATATCACAGATGCTCATATAAATCCTATGAACTGCTGCAAGGAATTTTATTCAACAGCACTGTGGGAAAGTGCAACTGAGTAGGAAGAGGAAGAAGTGATGGAGTTAAATAGCAGGGGAAGAAGCAGCAGCTAGGAGGACTAAAGTATACCTGCTGGCACAGAAATAATAGAAATACTTAGTGCCACTGACAGCTAATAGATCCTGATACAGGAGATCATAAGCACTTGGGGGTTTTAGAACAGCTGATTCAAGGAAAGAGTGCTTTGCAGATGCTCATCACACACAGAAGGTATATTTGGCAATGGGGTTGGAACCACAGTGGTGTTCTACCCTCTCAGTGTCTGCATGTTCTGCATGAGCAACTGAACATGTGTAGATATATCCTTCTGATGGCATGGAGCTCCTGCACATGAAAATTTCAGTTGAACTTGAGTAGGCATTCCTTTGCAGATGCCCACACAACTTGTGGACTTTGGAGAGGGTAGGGCCAGCAGTGTAAACAATGTTTTATATGAAACAGATATTGGTTGAACACAGCTCACCAGCCATTCTAGGGCCTGCCCTTAACTCTATTTTTGCTGTCCCAGGTGTACCCCTGGTAGTCCACACTTTTTGTAGGCCTGAAGTAAAAATTAGTCAACCCTGGCATATAGGTGTGTTTTGCTTTATAACAAGTTCTGCCATTTTGATCAGGCTTATCTACTTTGACGGTGGCTCTCTACAGTCATGGACAGCTTGAATATTGTTCTTGGTCAAAACCATTTTAACTTGTGATAGTAGGAACTATCCAAGATAGTAGGAACTTGGGACTTTGGGCAGTTAATTTGTTATTAAGATACGGACCCCCTTCCTGCTATTTCAAAGTGTATTTTAATCGAGTGCAGAAGCACCTAATCTTAATTAGGCTTATGAATAAATAAACCACGGTTATCTTTGAAAGAACGTGAAGTTCTGTGGAATGGTGAGGAAACTCACAATAATCCTTTCTTTTCTGGAACTTTTGTTTTCTTTGAGAGGGAAAAAACAAAACTGCTGCTAAAACCCCCCACAGTATATCATTTTTCCAAAGTTTTTCTGTTTTTTAAATTTTTTCTGGGACTTCTCATCTCTTAACTTTGAACATGCTTTTTGAGCCATGTACTTGTGTCTCCCCTAGTCAATCACAGGACAACAGCCATATATGGTAGCTCATAAGGAGCTTAATAAAGCTCCAGTTTCTGCAGCCTGCCTATGTAGACAAAAGCAAAAATACGGCTGTCAGGGCACAGCAGGCCACAATCCATACATTGCCATATCATCATCAGCTTGATGGGTCAAGAGTTATACAGCTGCATGGGTTGCTTTAGCATCTGCTTCATTAATGCAGTCATTTTTTTCTTTCCAAGAATGGCTTATTTTGTCATGGGTGGCTCCATGAATAGCGGACTTCAGAGTGACTTCACAGATTTTTTACAAATGCTTTGAGATGAGAGGTGTTTCTATTCGTTTGTCTTGCCATATGGTGACTGGATTGCCCTGGTAAAAAAAAGAGATACAGGAAAACAAACCAGTAGTTCCATGGGGCTGAAATACTTGTATGTGTTATTTGCAGTGCATGCCAAGAAAGTCATGGGCACAAAAGCCAAGCTGGAGAGCTAATTAAGTATATAAATGTTTATGTTTAAACAACCTTGTAAAGGAGCATTGGAAATCTGCAAGATGAGCGAATATCTTATAACTTCTTCCGCAGGTGCGAGGATAGCTACAAGCCATGGACTTTCTGTCCTGCTTCTTGTTTGTGGCTTTGTGAAGGGTGCTTTGCTTTAATCTAAAAAGTGCTGACTTTTTCCAATATCACTTTCT